GGTGGCCATGGCCACCCATGGCCACCCCTGTACAAGGAACAAGGTTTAAGCCTGGTTTAGGTGGGCATGCAAATATTGCTTGTCAGTAGTGAACTTGTTCAAAATGAATTTAAGTAAAGAGAGAATACGAACAATAAGAACCTACAAGGAAAATTAAATTAAAATGAAAATGTCCACAAGAATCACAACGCTTTAGTATAACTCACATGTCGAAAAGGAGTAGGATGCAAACTTATTTAATTCCACCCCTTCAACTTTCTTACTTCCATCAGTAACCTCTGATGAATTAGACATATTTACAATATTACTTTTTCTTAATACAGGCTACAGTCATATTTTTACATATCTTTTTAATTCATTAAAATATTTTCCTTATGCTTTATTTTAAACAATTTTATGTTTGGACATTGTGCTTCTGAGTGTGGAGTGAAAATGTGGAATGATTTAAGTCTGGACTTGAACTAAAAACTCTTCCAACTGCACACAATAACTTCAATGACAAAACAGCTCTTAAATTGTAACATTCTTCCCCAAAAATGAATCTGTTTTAAACATTTTAGGTACATTTTCATGTTTAGCTCTGTCCAACATTTAGAGCTACATAATATGTCGGCGTTAACATTATTATTGGTCTGACAAGTAAAACTGGGCCTATATTAATGTCCAATATTGATTTCCCACTTTTTAGCTTTGTGGTTCTGTTTTGGGAGGGGAAATGGTTGGTCGACAGGTATTTGATCATGATAGTGGTCAAACATAGACAGTAAATAAAAACAATTAAATATAAACTAATTGGAACAGACACAGTAAGCTTTTTTCATTTTGTTTTTAGTTTCTTAAATTTATAATAACAAATTCATTTATTTTTAACAAAACAACTTTTTATGCTCTCAATCACACATGAGCACAATTTCAACATTACAGTGCAATCTACGGTGCATGTTTTCAGTCTGTGGGAGGGAAACTGGAGAAAACACACATGTGCACAGGGAGAACATATGAACACTAKACAGAAAGACCAGGAGGCAAACCTGCAACCTTCTGCTGTGAGGTGACAGTGTTAAGGCTAAGAGGATTAAACCTAACTTCTTATTCAGGTAATTACTAGAAAAATATTGTCCATAATGTGCAATCATCCTTGCATTAYTGCAACAGCTGATAAAGAAGCTAATATTTGTACAACCAGTCAAAAGTTTAACAGAAAATTGGACCAGAGTTCTGTTTCTGACAGCTGATTAAAGCATCATGAAGCTATTTTTCCTCTGATCTTATTAAACCATGCTAAATACAATCCACCTTCAAAATCTGCAAGCCCCAAAATGTATTGTCAACCCACCTCCAGCTAGCTTTAGGTTAACGTCATTGGTTCCTGGGAAATAACATAACAAATCCTGCTATCTGCTGGCGTTTTGTGAGAACACAGTCACATTGAGTTTGGCTCTTTGTGGTTGATTTTTTTTTATTGCTTGTCCTTTTAAAACCACGAGCCAGACAGAGTTAAGTTATTTGTCAGAGGGTTTGTAATTATTTTAAATATACAACTAAAAGCCTAAATTATATATGGAGCAAACCAAAGAAAACAGTTTGCTTTGACAGATTGTTTTAACCCTATATGTTTTTAAAAGAGATGCGTCTGATTTTATGTCAAAAAAAAAAAAAAAAACACAAGCAGATGGATTCAATATTTGTCATTGCCCATGCTGTGAAAAGCTTATGAATTATTTTAAGCTACATATTTCCCAACAAAGCTACTGTTTTTCCACAGTAAGCATCTAAAGACATTCAAATAATGGTTTAAAGCCTGATTTAAATCTCCTGTCACTTGCTCCTCCATTTGATTTTTATTTAATTTCTGTGGCTCATTTGCCTTCCTCTCAAAAGGAATCTGTTAACAACAAAACATCAACAAAAAGTCTTTCACTTACTGTACCTGCAACAATATGAAACCAACCCGTGCATAACTCCTCTGTCATTCAGCTGTCTCTCAGTGGACCCCCGCCCTCATTCCAGTCAGACGGAGAGAAGAGAATTAAAATGAATAAACAAGTTCACTGAAGCAGAAGGAAGCAGGGATGAGTAGATGAAAGACTAAGAAACTTAGATTCTAGGACAAACTTGAAGGCTGCAGCATGTAGCAGCAGATATCCTAACTGCACGTGCACTGCAGAAGGTCTTCATGCTACCTGGAGAGTAGTAATGTGGGACAACAGGCTGCAGGATGCTGGACATTAGCAGCATTGAAGGTCAAAATGTACGGAGGACCAAAACTGACATAATTGGAAATAAAAGAAATATATAAATGGACCAATAAMTACATACATTTAAAATGCACTGATTAAATTATAAAAGAAAATTATACCTTGTTTTATAATGTGATTGACTTTCCAGATCATTTCCAATAAATTTTATATTTTAGCACATAGTTTACATTTTACCGTTAAAAAAATGAGTTTTTTCTTTTACTTGTAGATGCATTTATGCCTCTTAAATTATTGTATTTAATCACTTTTTAGATTTTTTTCCCACAAGTCTTTTTATTTTCATGTGTTGCTTTTATATTTCTCCTGTTTTTACATTACCTTATGCAYTTCTGCCTCATTATGCAAACATGGTGGGTGGGCCTTCTTAGGTCATCTCCTCTCYTGTTGGTCAACAGACAGGAAGGAGCAGGATCCATGTGCATGCGTGTGCTGGCTCAGCTTATCTTAAATTTTATTTTAAAACAAAAGCCAGGAGGAAAAACACTTTGCATATAAATTTTAAACTTTAAACTGAGGCAGCACAAACATGCACAGTAGATCTGCACATAGTTCCTGCTCCTTCCTGTCTGTAAACCAATAGGAGAGGAGCTGACCCAAGATGGGCCGCCCACCTTTTTTACATAATGAAGCAGAAATGCATAAGGTAAAGTAAAAACAGGACACAGAGAAATATAAAAACATATGAAAAGACTTGTGGCATAAAAATATATAAAACCAAATGCATCTACAAGTAAAAAAGGAAAAACAAAATATTTTTTGAAAAAACAGTAAAATGTAAATATAATTTGTTGGAACTAAGCTGGAAAGAAAAATGAAAAGGTCAAATAAATTATAAAATGAGGTAAAGTCCTCCATTTTGAA